GGATGGTGGAGCTCCCTGGTGTAGCGCAACCCGACTGCCCTCTGCATGAGGTGATCTCCTCTCTTTTGTAGGCGGCGAGAGCTGAGGGACATGCAAGAACTCCATCTTTTCCTCCTCTTTGTAGGTGGCGGGAGCTGAGGAACCTGCGAGAACTAAATCAGAGAACCCGGGGGTATTTTCCCGGTGGGGACTCTCTGATGCCTAAGTTAGCATTCTGATTGTAGGGAGCTTGGAGAGAAATGAGAGAGCTAAAGAGCAGGGATTACCTCCATTTTTTCATTCTCTCCCCTTGTCTTTGGGGGTCGGAGTCCTTATATAGTGGTGTCCTATCAAATCAGGCGTAACAGCCTCTGTCAAGTCAGGCGTAATCGCCTCTATCTCTCTGTCACAGCCGTTACTGCCAGAGCTGAGGTGGAGGGTGCAGGCGGCTACTACAGAGTACGGCTCTGCCAATCAAGGGACAGCTCTCAGGACTGGCAGGCACGACGCCGCCTAGCGAGAGACGTGGGCGCAGGTCTCCGGATCTTTCAGGTACGGTTGTCAAGCAGGAGATCTTCCTGCGATACGCCGAGCTGCCCCTAAGTGTCGAGCTACTTGTAAGTGCTGAGCTGCCCCTAAGTGGCGAGCTCTTCGTAAGACACCAAGCTGCCTGCGGAGTGGCCAGCTGCCTATGCCGAGCTACCTGTAAGTGCCGAGCTGCCCCTAAGTGGCAAGCTCTTCGTAAGATGTCAGGCTGCCTGCGGAGTGGCCAGCTACCTGTGGCAAGCTACCTATGCCGAGCTGCCCCTAGCTATACCGAGCTCCCCGAGCTATGCCAAGCTGGCTGTGGCGAGCCATGCCGAGCTGTCTGTAAGTGGCAAGCTGTGGCAAGCTCTACCGAGCTGCCCGAGATTCCCGAGCTACCTAGTTGTCAAGAGGCTGCACTTGATTTGCATGAGGTGCCAGGTGTCACAATTTCACTGGAGGGCCAAATCTGCCCTCATTAGATATTGTGCGATTTTTACATTATAAAAAGACTAGTAAGTGTGCACGTGCTTTGCATGTGGCAATTTTAGATGATGATAATAATAGTAATAATTGAATTATACACATTTATGATATTTTACTAATCAAATTAAAAAATAATTAAATTATGATAGTAATTAAATTGGATACATTATTGAAAAATTTGGATACATTATGATCATCTAGAATTGAAAAAAAAATGCTACTAATTTTCTATAATGATTTCTATTATAAAATTTTCTATTTTAATTTTTTTTGAATTTTTATATTAGAACTTTTAGTTTTATTTTAAAAAAATTATTTCTAAAAACTAAATTAGACACATTTATGATTTTTTATTAATCAAATTAAAAAATAATTAAATTATGATATTAATTAAATTGGATACACCATTGAAAATTTTGGATACATTTTGCACATGACAATTCTATATAATGATAATAATAGTAGTAATTAAATTATACACATTTGTGGTGTTTTTATTTCTATTTTTATTTTTTTAACCCCAAAGTTTACTCCCAAGGGAGGGGTGGTCATTGAAGATTTATTAAGATGCAAGAAAAACCTGGGGGGGGCGGGGGGGACGTAAAGCCTTACCCCTCAAAATCTATATAATGCTGGAAACCCAACTCATATATATGTCCAAGAAACCTAAAGTCAACGAATTCTTAGAAAAGGAATCCTAAGACCATCTGCATTAGCCAAATTCTAGATGTGGGAAAAAAGATTCTCTATGCAATCATAAACAATTTTCCGTAACTTCTCTATAGAAATGTACACAAAAGAAATCCAAACTATTCTTGAACTCTTGTACCTATAAAAACCAAAACCAAAGCTTCCAGGAGGCTGTACAAACTCCATTGATAACATCAACCAGAATTTTTAAATCCCACTCAATCATGATCCTATTCACTCCTAAAGCAATTACAAGGTGTAGGCCATCCAGCAGTGCCAATGCTTCTACAACCAAATGATATATCACTACTTAAGGCAGAACTCTATAATGTCAAGGAAACAAATGAATGTGTGTTAACACTGGAGAAAGAATACTCGTCTTTGCTAGCTAACTTGAAGGAGTTGGAGTCTAGAGTAGCAATTGCTCAGGACGATGTTTTAAAACTTTCCATGCTGAAATCTGAATGTAAGGACTTATGGAGGAAGATAGGAATTTTGCAAGGATTGCTTGAGAAGGCAACCAAGAAAGCAAATCAAGCTATTTCAGTGTTACAGAAAAATCATGACCGCAGAATGAAGGTTGATGGGTTGGAAGAAACACTGGGAGAAGTGGATGCATATAGGTTATCATCAAAAAGGCTAGTGCAACAGAAAATTAGAATTTTTGAAGAGCGTCTTCAAAGATCTGACCAAGAAATACATTCTCATGTTCAGCTGTATCAGGAGTCTATGAAAGAATTCCAAGATATACTTAATAGTCTTATAGAAGAAAGCAAGAAAAGGGCATCAAACGAACCTGTGGATGCCAATGTCAAGAAAGCATCTGCAGCGACTGATCTCCAGCGCCTAGAGGTAATTGCTTCTCAACTGCTTTCTTGAGCAACTATATGCGCTGCTCTATTTCTGCAAGGAACAGAAAACAGAAGAAATCGGGAAAAAGAAAGGGGAAGGGGAAGAAGAGAGATCCGGGGAGAGAGAGAGGGAGGACTTTGGAAGTCCGCCGCCGCTACAACAGCTAACGCCACTGCTGTTCGTGTATTGTGAGGTTGGGAAAGATTAACAGTATTTTTCTCCAAATAATTATTATAAGGGTAATATGGAAATTAAAAAATATTACAACGGCAGACTTAAACAAAAGACTAACCAAAGGGGTCTTTATCTCACGGTCATAGTACAGGAGGTCTTTATTACAAAACAAAATAAAGGGGTCTTTGTTACATATCCATAATACAGGGGGTTTTTGTAATTTATCCAAATACCCTTTTAAGAAATAGTCAAATAGAGAGTAATTTACTCCAACCAAACTTCCACTCTACATCCACACACTTTTATAATTTTATATATAAAATAGATTTGGTCGTTATAGTGAAGCAAACAGTTTTTCTAATTCTCTCTCTATCTCTTTGTGTCGTTCTTTTCTTGTTCTCTACACATTTACAGAGTTTTCATGGCGACAAAGCTATCTACATTCTTTTTCGGTGCTGACTGCCATGGACTGAATGGCAACAAGTTTAATACACGGCTGGCAGTTCGTTATCCTCGCTTGCTGCCAATCTACTGCAAGATGCGACCAAGGAATTTGAGGTATTCGTTTCTTTATATTTGTTGTTTGATTTGTCATTCGGTTCTCATCCATCTTTTCTATTCAAGAAATGAAGATACGATTCAATCGTGTCAGTTTTCATTCATTTTGGCTTGCTTTAGCTTGAATCTTGAGTTTCATTGAGCTTGGAATTCTTGTTTCTTGACGTTTTAATATTCTTTCTTCTTTAGTTTTTTAGAATTCCTATTTTTGGAATTCCTGAAAATGCTGAACGTAATAAGAAATTGTACTATTTATTTTCAGTTGTTTGATTTTTCGTTGATTTCTCTTGAATCTTTTCTATTCAACGAATGAACATATGGTTCAATCTTTCTGTTTTTCACTCATGTTGACTTGTCTAACTTGAATCTTGAGTTTTGTTGGGCTATACTGTGTTGTAGTTAAAGGTGTTGAACGAAATAAGAGACTATACTGTGTTGTTTGATTTGCCATTTGGTTCTCTTCCATCATTTCTATTTAAGAAATGGAGATACGATTCAATCGTGTCGGTTTTCACTGATTTTTTCTTGTTTTAGCTTGGATCTTGAGTTTCATTGAGATAGGAATTCTTGTTTCTTGAAGTTTTACTATTCTTTCTTTTTTTTTTTTTTTTGAATTCCTGAAAATGCTGGACATGATAAGAAATTGTACCATTTGTTTCAGTTGTTTGATTTTTTCGTTGATTTCTCTTGAATCTTTTTCTATTAAAAAAATTGAAGATATAGTTCAATCTTTTTATTTTTCACTCATGTTAGCTTGTCTAGCTTGAATCCTGAGTTCTGTTGGGCTCGGAATTTCTGTTTCTTGAAACTTTACTAGTCTTTCTTTATAAAGTTTTTGGAATTCATGAAAATCCTGAATGTAATGGGAAACTATATTATTTTTCTCTGCTTGATTTTTTTGGAAGAAAAACGTCATTCATTACTGACTGTCTGCTTGATTTATCATTAAGTTCTTTTCAACCTTTTCTATTTAACAAACGAAATATGGTCTAATTTTGTTGTTTCCACTGTTGGCTTGTTTAGCTTGAATCTTGAGTTTAGTTGAGCTTGGAAATCCTGTTTCTTTAAAGTTTACTAGTCCATTATGCTAAACTTGGTTTGAGAATAATTCGTATTTAATTAAATTGACAAATGAAAAGAGAAACTGGTGATTATCAAGTAATCTTTAGAAAGGCTGCTCTTATGAAATCGAGATCATAATATATTTCATTCTTTCCCCTACCAGATGTATGGTTGATATGAAATCTCTCATTTCACTTTGTTACTATTAATGTTGCACAGGCTGACGAGCTGTGGATTTGACTAGGATTATCTGGTTGTGATGTTGTTTCTGATCTATCCTATTCTATTCTTATAATCTGTGTACCTTTAATGCTGATTTTTGTTAGGGACTCTTTCGAGGGAGCCTGCCTCCTGAATGAGAGAGAGAGAGAGATTGTATTCCCAAATCGATAAATCCCCTCCTAGCTTCCTTTCCTTTTTTATATACTGATGTTACAATTCTGTTATACCCGCTTCTCCACTTGTCCAGATTGTTAGTTAGTTTGTTCTAGTGGTTGGTTGTTAGTTACATTCTTTAAAGGCTGGCGTGGCCTTTTTCTTGTACACTTGTATTCCCTTTATTTGTGTCTCAATAGTCCCTCCTCCCTTGAAAGCGACCTTTCCCTCAAGGTCAAGATGTGGAAATCTATTATGTAAATCCAAGTAAGGTTCCCAAGTTGCATCCTCAATTGGGAGACCTGACCATACCACCAATGCCTCTGGTTCGATGTGATTCCCTTTGCGTATCCACCTGAAATCTGTTCCTTAGGTTCTTGGAAGATCACTGAGAACTTCTGAAGTAGCTGCTGTAGTTGTGTGCGGCCTTCTTCGGATCTGCTTCCTTGGGCTAGAATGGAGCCGTTCCCGTGGGAGTCTATCTGCATTAAAACGATGTGGGCTGGGTTTGTTGCCTGTTTCCTTAGGGAGGCGAGACTAATAGGTCCTAGACCCTTGGACAGCTGCCCTTGAATATGCACCTATGAGCTGCCCACTTGAAAATCCATGGTGAGACATGCCCAATTACATATCACGGGCCCTAGTTGCCTTAACCATTGGACTCCGAAAACTACATCTGCTCAACTGATTTCCGGGGGGTGCAAATCGACCTAGAACTCATGTCCTTGTATCTTCATCTTTAATTTTGTGCACGTACTGTCGCATACCAGGTTGCTCCCATTAGCTACGTGCACCTGGAAGGCTGTATATGATTGGACCAGAATCCCTAGTTGTCTGACCAATGTTTGGGTAATGAAATTGAGAGTGCTGCCACTGTCTATCAGAACTGACACATGGCGCCCTTGTACCAGTC